TGACTTGAGCCTAAACTGGACACTTAACCAGTTGAGCCAGCCAGGTGCCCCTTAATTTCATCTTATCTAAACTTTGCGTTTATCTCTGTGGTATCCTGAGATCTGATGTCAGATGTTGGTTCAGGGAAGAGGAAAAGGAATGGACATGACAAGAATCGGCAGGCATCCCCTTGCAAGGTGAGTGTGTTTTAGGTGAAGTGATTACAAAGCTTTTAGACAAGGTACTGTGTGGCTCATCAGACAGGTCAAGATGTGCTGTGTGGGCCAAACTGAAGCCTCTGTGTAGTTGGACAAATCAGAGTATTCGAATTTACCCAAATCCTAGATTCTTTCTACTCATTATTGTTCTCAACTGCCTCTTTACAAATGAGGCCTTGAATTTTATAAAAGATATTTAGCAGGCTATGAATTCAACTTATTTTGTAGCACATCCATATGTGAGATCTGACTTTGTTTTTTTTCCATTCCCATACTGAGATACAGCTTTGAGAGATCAGAGATTTGATTTATGCAGTTCTGGATATGTCCTGATTATTGTATTCTAAATAATCTGAGGATCTAAAACCCCTATCTTTGTCATGTCTTTTTGTAGCCTCTGCAGTGCAATTGAAAGCACTCAGCACACTCCCAACTTTATTCCTTTTCATGGCTGGATAACGTCCCATGTATGGATAGACTACCGTTTGTTTATTCATTCATCATTTGATGACCATGTGGGTAGTAACCATCTGTTGGCTACTGCCAATCTTTTCCCCATGTAACTACTTTACATTCCAATCAGCAACGCATGAGGCTCCCAATTTCTCCACATCCTTGTAAACATTTCTCATATTCCATTTGAAAAATAGTAGCCTTCCTATGAGTGTGATTTGGTATCTCACGGTTTTGAGTTGTAGTTCCCTAATGACTGTTGATGTTGAACACGTGCCTCTTGACCCCTTGTATGTCCTCCTTGGGGAAATGTCTACTTAGGTCTTTTGTCCGTTTTCAAATTGGGCTGTTACTTCTGTTGTTGAGTTTTTGTACTTGTTACATATTCCTGATATTCAACTCTTACCAAATGTATAATTTGCAAACATACTGTGCTCTCCTATGGGTTGTATTTCTGCTCTCTTCATAGTGTCTACTGATACACTAAAGGGTTCAATGTGGTCCCATTTTCTTTTCTTTTTCTTTTGTTGTTTGTGCTTTTGGTGTCATATTTAAGAAATCAATGTCAAAATTACCCCTTGGTCACAGTGTAGGATCTTTTTAACATGTTCCTGGATTCCATTCGCTAGTAGTTTGTAGAAGATTTTTGCAGCTATACTCATAAGAACACTGGACTGTAATTTACATTTCTTGTTTTCTTCGGTTAGGTGTCAGGGCGGTCATGGTATCATCAAATATGTTTTGGAAGAGTTTGAGAAAGTTCAGTATAAATTAAGGTTTGATAGGATTAACCAATGAAGCCATCAGATCCTGGACTTTCCTCTGTTGGAAAGGTTTTTTTTTTTTTT